GTGTGTGAATGGGTGGATGACTGGATATGTAAAGCGCTTTGGGGTCCTTAGGGACTAGTAAAGCAATATATAAATACAGGCCATTTACCATTCTTTGTCTTTTTTAGTTTTAGATAATCAGACTTGGGATACTTTAATAATCCCAAAGGAAATGATGTGGATTACAGTAGATTTATACAATATATTACAAAGTTTAAACATTTCAGAACATTTCAGTACAAATCGCTCAATTATAACTTTCAAGAATATTACAGAGGTGAAGTATATATGATGGACATTTTACTCTAACCTGCGAAACTTTGTCATTTGTTATTTTACTGTAAAGCATGTGCAAAAGGGTGTAACTATTGGAGTGTGTACAGTGTGTTAGATGGGGGAGTTGTACAGGGAGATGTAACAGGCAGGAATGATTTCTTTTCTTCAGTGGTCCTTTTTTGTAATCTCAGTCTCTCACTGCAGTGCTCCTGTGACTAGCCAGCGTGTCATGGAGTGGGTGGAAGTTATTATCCAGCACTGTCCTTATTTTTGATAACATCCGCCTCTCAGACACCACCCTAAGGGAGCTCCAGCTCCGTCCCCACAACATTACTGGCATTGCAGATCAGTTTATTGAGTCCTTTGGCATCTGCAACTCTTAACCTGCTGCCCGAGCATGCACCAGCATAGAGGATGGCACTGGTCACAACACACTCATAAAATACCCTGAGCACTGTCCAACAGATGTCGAAGGACATCATCCGCCTCTGAAAACATGGTAATGTTTACCTCCACAATGTAAAGTGTGTACAAAAAGTGTAATTGCAACAATAATGTGTAGAAACAATAATTTAATTCAACAAGTGAAAACAAGTGAAAAATGCTTGAGAATATTTGAAATTACATGTATTTGACTAAAATCAACAAGTTCCTTGGTATATTCAAGGTTCAAGGTTCAAGGTTCTTTATTTGTCACATGCATAGTTATACAAGTATAACACACAGTGAAATGTAGCCTGACACGCTCCTCGACATGTGCAAAAATTGGGGGGGGGGGGGGGGGGTGTAGAGGAAGAACATTATATATATCTACATATAGTATATACACTGGGTGAATGTGCAGTAGTAGCAGCAAGCAGGTGAATTCTGTACATTAATATGAATAGACATCTGACTATTTTACAGGATAGACAATATAAACATATTTAAAATTAAAGGAATTGAAATGTACATTGTGCCTTGGTTTAGAGTGTCTGGAAGAGTCCTGTCTCAGTCAATTATAGATGAGTAATGATGTATCTTATTATATTATAATTAGATCATATGAACAGAAATTAAATTTATACATGTGACAGTTTTTTCCTCACCTGATGCATTAGCCTCAGCTGAGCCTGAGGAGGAAAATGACCCTGTACTGATTCAAACAATCACATTTGGTGCTCTGATATTAATTCGTTTTTCAAGCTACTATTACCTTTAGATTTTGTCTTTTGTCCTGCCCAGCAGGACCTCAACTCGGCTGACCAGCAAGGAGCCCAAGGGCAAAGAAGATGAGACCAAGGTGCCAGGCCATGAACAGAAGGGCAAGAATGATAATACAGAGGAGCAGGTGCTGTTCATGGGGGAGGATCAGATGGACCCAACACTGGGCTCCAAGTCTCAAACCCAACCCAGGAAAGATGAGGGAAGAGGATGAGAAGATGCCTCAGCATCAAAGATCTGTCAGCAACCACTAGAACATGGCCAAAATAAAACATTAATGAGACATCTATCTTTCCATTAAATCTGAATAAATATTGAGTGTAAACATCTGAAATAACTGCTAAGCCTCCCTTCCTTTCAAGACAAACCTCCCCAACTGACAAAATGAAGTACACTTGTGCAGTCCACCAGTTTACACAGACACAGCAGGTCAACACAGAATAAGCTGCATATATTTTGCAAATAGCACATAACAGATCAAGTTAACTGCATTTTTAGAAGTACTCTGACAAGATGCTTATAAGATGAGTAATAATTGTTCATTTTCCCCTACACTATCAGAAAATTACTTAAGAATTAAAATGACTTACGCAGTACTTAACATTACTTACAGTTCAATAATTTCCTTATTTTCTGTAATTGCAAATGAAAATTGCAAATGAAATGCACTGTAATTCCATCTAATTACAGGGGAAGTACGAACTTTATCGTTGGCCATAAGTGTTTCAAAACTGTCCAGTTGCTCTGTAAATTTGTCTAAATCTGCAGTTTTGCAAATTTTTTTTTTAGATGAACAGGATTTGGCAGTCATGGTATTACCTGCACATGTTAAAAATCTACTAAACATACAGTAAACATTTCACCAAGCTGTCAGTTATTCAGTCTTAATTCCATTAGACAAAGGGGATTTAAATCTCGTGGCGTTATATCATAACACAGTAACTAAAGAATTCGCAAGAGAAGATAATTATTGTTTGGAACTCTTAAGCTCAGGTATCAACAATCAGCTGTCTGCTGCTTAATTGTATTTACTGCAGTGTTACTGTATAGTTTTCATTCTGACCGAACCACTCAAAGTGATAAAGTGCCTGCTTTTTGCTGATTCACTTCACTGATGAACTGCTGACAGAGTAAAAAGGGAACATTAGAGTACATAGGGGAAGTTGGTCAGTGGGGTTCTGACACTGTTTGTAGGTGCTGTGAGAAAGCAGACACACAATATTTTGCAAACAAATGTCTTAATTATGTGGCCTACTATCTGTTAAGCAACTACGAAAGTTATGTGTTCAAGAAATTTACTACAGGACCTGAGGCATTGTAGCAGAAAATGACACTGGAACAAAATGATTCACCTCTCAGTGGTTTTCAATTTTGTGTCTGATTGATGTGAATTCTGCCGTCAGTAAATGACTAATACAGTTTTTGTTGAATCACTTAATCAATTAACAAGATAACGTCATTAATAATTAAAGTACTCTTTAGATCTTTATGTCAATTAAGTGTATTAAAGTCCTAATTATGTGCATAATAATTTTATACACAGATTAATACAATAATAACAATGAAAACCGTAAGTATTTGAATAAGCATCTTGTAGGCCAGAGTAAAAGTCTTAAAAATAAATGTAAAAAAACCCACTTGAGTTTGACTCAAGACTGGTGTATAAAACACAAAGTATTTATTTTGGTAAAGCTTAAGAAGCAAAACATGCAAGGACATGAATATGATCAAGATCAGAACGGGTAGGGGAAAAGCTGTGGTTCCTCCTGTGGTTGACATGCTCTGCTAGGCCTTTACTGCAGCCACCTTCAACTGCTGCTTGTTTGTGGGTCTCTTATGCCTTCACTTTTGTGTGTAATAACTGAAAGCATGCTCTGATGGCTTGACTAGCTCAGCCTTTCTTATCTCATTTCTTTGTTTTCAAGAAACTTGTATGTTCTATTTGCAGTCACATTGTCAATAAATACTAGAGATGCAGTTTCATGCTACACCTAAACCATACCATTGCCCCCATCATGGTTGGCAGATAATCCTGCATGCATCTTAAGTTATTATCTGATCTTTAACTATAATTTTGCCTCATGATTGTGGTGCAAGTTCATCTTGGTTTCATCTGTCTGAAAATATTTTATTTCGAAAACTGTGCATATTTTTTAACCTAATCTGGCCATCCTGTTCTTGAGTGTAACCAGTGTTTTGCACCTCGGTGGAAACTTTCTGTATTTCCATTCGAGTCTTTGGGTTCCCACTTTAACACTGATATAAATTTCCTCCATAGTATTTGATAGGTTTGTAGCTTGAACCTATCCGCTGGAACGTTGAAGACAATATAATTACACAGCAAAAGCATTGAACACCAAGTAGGCAAAGTTCTTCATGTTACTCATGCATGAGGGAGACCTGCCTGGAGCCAAGTGTCGTTCCACCACTTGACCTCCATCAGACTCTCAGCCAGGTTCCCCATAGCACTCCTTTTATTGTGGTTACATGAATATGCATAGGGTCATTAACATATAACATCTTACATAGGTATACATGTGAACAAAGAATACGTGTTGTGTGTGTGTGTGGGGTCAGAGTGTGACCCCATAAACGACTTCCCTTAACCTGCTGGTCTGGAAAATCCAACAGTTCATCTAAACAAAAAGCACTTAGACTAGAACAGACGTAGCTACGTTAATCCTACCATAAAACAATAAAACAAGGTACGACCTCTCTCATGCTCCTAGGATGTAGGTGTGCATTCCAGTGTGGAATACACACCAAGCCTTTGCAGCCTGCTAAAGATCACACATCCTATCACTACACAATGATTATACACCTCTAAGCATATATGGTTAAATATTTCTAAGCATAAATGACAATCAACAATACAAAACCTAACAGTATTCTTCTTCTTTTTTGTATGCCGTGGAGGGTTTTTCTTTTCTTAATTATATCATATTACAGCTCTCCATATATTAGTTCTTAGATGTATAAGGGATTCTTTCAAATGAAAATTTGTTATTATTTCATATTTCAGCTAGTCTTCAAAAGCATGTTATTAAAATCAGGCCATTTACATTTTTAGACTTATCTTTTATAAATCTGACAAAATTGCTCTTTTTGTATTACTACCCTAAACTTCTATAAGTGGTTTAAAAATGACCCACATTTATTTCCTATAAAATTTCATGTGAACCTTTAATTCTTGTCAGTTGTGACTGTCAATACTATGGATTTTGTTGACCACAGTGTCTCACAGAGTTATTTTACACAGCAACAATAAACAGATAGCATTCAGAGAGCAATTCATCGGTGATTGTGTCACTGCAAACAAACAGCTTGCACCATCGGGAGGGAAGTGAAAGTTTCTTCAGTACATGCCAGACAAGCCCTAGTACGGCCTTAAGATCCTCTGGGTTTGTAACGCACACATGGTCAATTCAGTAAACGCAATGGGAGCTGACAGTGCAATACGGAGAGATTGTTAGAAGGAATTGAACATGATTTATTGATGTATGTTCAGCAGAAAGATGACTGGAGTAGTGATCTCACAATCGGCTTTACAGTGTCAGAAGGTGGAAGTGATATAAATCTTAGATTAGCCACAAACACCTGGGAAGCAGAGATGAGTGACTAAAGATCTTATTAAACGTACGCATTAGCTTCACTACATGCCATCTTCTGGTTTTGTGATGCACACATCTCCTATGCAATAGATGGAATGGTTTATATGGGAATATAACCAGGAGAAAAGGTTCAGAACTATCAAAGGGGAAATATTGTCCAGAGGTTGTGCAGTAGATTCAGAAACACAGGGCATAACATCACCACAGATAACTTTATTTTTGTTGTGCCTTTATGCCGTCTCCTGGAGAAGGATCCTCAGTCTACACCAGAGTCCCTACAATAGTAGGGACATAATTAGATTCATTGGAAACTTTACAATGGTCAGCTATGTCACATAGCTGTTGTATTCCTGAGCATAATGTGTCACAATAAAATGGTTGATGAAAATACCAGAAAGGAAAAAAAGACAAGAGTGATCACATTCTACCACAAGGGCAAAGAAGGTGTACACACCATGGAGCAGATGGTTGGTACCTACATCCGCAAGTATCAAACACAGAGTGGACCCATGGTGCTGTGGTACATTCTTGACATTGCCACCCTTAATGCCTACACCTTTTTCAGGGGTCAGCACCCTCAAATCAAGAGTAGTGTCACCAGTGCACGATGTGTCTTCGTCAATGAGTTCTCACAGGAGCTTTTCACATCACACATGAGAAGTTGACTAGAATGTTGCTGCAACTGCAAACCCAATCACTGAAGCAATGGAAAGGTGCATGATGATAAATGCCACAACTCGGCCACAGGAAAAAAAAAAAAGCAGAAGGGTTGACCAAAGAGATGGAAGTGTCAGATGGGCGCTGGAGCTATCGACAGTCTTCATGGTCATGGTTTTTGCTCACTCCACGCACCTGCCTGCCTCCCTGCCTCAACATCAGGAGATTTGGATTTCTTACCACTCATCCAGACCACTCTCCTCTCCACTCTACTGATACACCTGTGGCAAGTAAGCAGCTTAAAGGAAAATTCAGAGTCAATATCTACCAGCATTCTCTTGGAACCATACCTGAACTTGTTTACTCTTGTTTCAGTGTCTCTGACCCCCCATCCGGTCTCTCCCTTTGGCCCCAAAATCACAGAACTGCAGTTTCCACAGTTGAAATCTCACTTGTTGTTTGCATAGCTCAGGTTGCCATAGTTTTGGTTTTGTTCACGGCACAAGTTTGAACTCACTGCTCAGTTCACAGTTGAATAGCTTCATTGCATACACTTGTATTGTACATGAACTTTGTCACTTAAACGTTCCTTGTGCTCCATCTGTGTCCTGCATTTGAGTCCTTTTCTCTCGAGTCAGCTACAGTACAACTGTGACAAAAGGATTCTTGTGTGGACCAAAATGTAAAATAAGTGTCATAAAAGCAGACTGATTTTAAAATGTGTCATGTTTGACTCACTTATGGAAGAGTGTAGGGTTCAGTCATGCATCTAAGGGTTAGGTTGATTGGTAGCACTTCAGAATCAGAGTATCTTTATTGTTATTGTAACAAGTACAACAAAATTAAGTGCAGTCCCTGCAGTGTCAATAGGGAAAAGTTTAAATATAAATACAAAACAATAATATAAAAAAGAAGTAGAGAACAGTCATTCAGTATATAAATAAAA